TAATTCAAAAATTCTGTTTTTCCATAAATGTAAATTGTTACCTATACAGTGAGTTCACCTAAGCTAAGAGTCGTGAATATACGGAAGATTACAGTGGTAGGTTACAGTGTTCACGGTGTAGGCCGAAGCAGTAGCTTCTGCGAAAACAACCAACTCTGATTTACTTGTAATTATACCCTACTTAATTGATTTCCGCTTCAGCCCCGTCTGATTGAGATAAACCATAATCTGGCCTAGATTGCCTCTGCCTCTTTATTGCTCAGATGCGGAACACCCCCAAAGGGGTCTTTATATGCCCCAAAACAGAGACCGCTGGTGTGGTGAGTGATTCCTTGAGTGAGGCCAGCGGTGCCTTTGCCATCAATCCCGAGCTCCCCACCCCTAATGCTGGCCCTTCTGGGACCTCCTCCCCATTGCTCCCCAACACCAGTCCCTTGGGGCACCTCTCCCATCCATCAGCCCACTGCACCCCCAAAACTGGCCCCTCTGAGGACCTCCCCATCCATCAGCCCATTGCACTCCCACCACTGGCCTCTTGGGGGCGCCTCCCTTATCCATCACCCCACTGCATCCCCAAATTGGCCCCTCTGAGCCACTCCTGCATCCAGCACCCCACTGCATGGGGTGGGATGGGTCCTGCTTTTGAGCAGGGGGTTGGACTAGGTGACCTCCTGAGGTCCCTTCCAACCCTGATATTCTATGATTCTATGATTCTATGCACCCCCAATACTGGCTCCTCTGGCAAGGTGTGGGGAGGAGGAAGCGGGGGTGGGACCCAACATGGGGGAAGTGGGGTCTATCCCCTCTCCTTGGCTCCTGTAGCCATCCTGGGGCCAGGGAGGGGACAAGAGTAGGATGACAAAGGCAGCTGGAGGAAGGAGGGAGGGGAAAGTCCTGGGGCCCAGCAGCCTCCCAGTGGGGAGATGCTGGAGTCAGAGGGAGCCGCAGGGGCCATGCCTGGAGCCCCATTCCCTCTGCAGCTCCCAGCCCAGCTCCCCAGCTCCCTGCCACACAGAAGTCCCTGGGACACGGTCCCAGCCCACCCCCAACTGTTGCCGCAGGGACAGAGCGGGACCTGACAGTCTGGGCAGGTGCACAGGGTCCCTCCAAAGGGAGCGGCACCCCAGGAGCCAGCTAGAGGGAGCAGGGGACGGGGGGCTGGCAGAAGTTGTCAGTGGGGTGGCAGCATTGGGGAGCTGGCACCTCGGTCCATCCTTCAGCAGGCCCAGCTGACACCCAGTTCCAGAGGCAGCTTTGGACACCCTGCCCGACCCCTGCCCTCCAGGCTGTGCCAGGGGTCCAAGTGACAGCTCAGCTCCTGCAGCTGCCTCTATGCCCTGCCCCTCTGCCTTGATCTCTGGTCTTTTCTGCCCCAGTCCCCCTGTGTGGTGGCTTCTCACACCTCCCAGTCCTTGGTTCTCCAGCCAGGGTCTCTGCTCAGCTTCCCTGCTGCAAAAAGGGGAAATCCAGCTCCCTCTGGGGCTCTGCTTGCTGGGTGTCATTGTCCTGAGGACTCGAGTCGGGGATTTCCCACTGATAGGGGGTCAGCCTGGGCCAGTCCTTGTTAATGACCCATTCAGGCTTAGACAGCCAGGCGATCCCCCCCACACACCCTCCCATCTGTCCCTTATCCTGTCTTTTCCCCCACTGGGAAGCCATGCAAAATATAGGGGAAACTGAGGCCCACATAGGATTCATCGAAATCTTTCAGAAAATTTGTCACAACTTGATCCTCCCTTCCCCCAGTCCCTGCCCCTCCCACGGCCCCCCCCCCCCCACAACCCTGCTGGGCAGTCACCCTCCTTGGCTTATTTCTTCCCTCCCCTATTTTTTATTTTCATTCCTTTAGTTAAAAAACACCCCCCCCCAATCACTTAATGTCCCCACCCCCCACTGGAGCCTCCCCCCACGAGAGAGTTGCTGCTCCCCAGCGGGCTGCGGGGTGCAGGAACTGCTTTGCTTAGCCCCCTCCCGAAAGAACGTGGCTCCCTCCCTGCCCCCGCACAGAGGGCCAGCGGCCCCCTGCATCAGCAGAACGGTGGGGCTGGAGCTGCCGGAGGCCGGAGCCAGCGGCTGCGAGATGCTTCCACTCTATTGTGGGCCTTTTGTCATCCCCCGGACAATGGAGCAAAGAGAAGCGTGTCGGGGCGACTCTATAAAAGCCCTGTCCCCCCCAGCACCCCGCACCCTCGCTGCCTCCGGCAGATCCCCAGGCACACAATCCAGCCGCTGCAAAAGTTGATCCACGGAACGACTTGTCAGTCCTCATTAGCCATGGCCTCTTCCGCCGGCCAGCACTGAAGGTAAATTCCTTTAGTCTCTCTCTAGCAGCCCTGAGTTCTGCCCACCGTCCCCCCTCGATTGATCTGGCTGCCTGTCTGTCCCCACACACCCTCGCTATCTATCTATCTATCTATCTATCTATCTATCTATCTATCTTTGTGGGGGGGAGGGAGGGATAGCTCAGTGGGTTGAGCATTGGCCTGCTAACCCCAGGGCAGGGGGTTGGACTAGATGACCTCCGGAGGTCCCTTCCAACCCTGATATTCCATGAGTCTATCTATCTATCTATCAATTCTCTGGTCCCACTGCAGCTGGAGGTGTAATCAGGGGCACCATTGAGGTGGGTGGGCAGTTGCTCCCATGCGTTGTGGCACAGGGGGTCTCCAGTCCACCCATGGCTCTGGGAGTGCGCAGGGCAGGGCTCCAGGCAGGGGATTATAAGCAGCCCTGGAGGCGGGCGGCTGGATGGTGCTGCGAGGCAAGGAAGAGCCACGTCTGGGTCACTGGCTGCTTCCTCTGCTTTGCCCGGGGGAGGCAGATGTTTCTACTCTCTCAGACACAGGCTTCAAAGTCCTGCCCCCTCAGGTCCGGGGGCAGCCCCCCTGTGGCTGCTGCCCCTGCCCCCCCTGCTCAGATATAGGGGCAGCCCCCTGTGGTGGCTGCTCCTGCCCCCCTCAGGTCTGGGGGTGGCTCCCATTGGCTGCTGCTCCTGCCACCCCTCAGGTCTGGGGAAGGGGTGTTCCTGCCGCTGTGGCTCCTGCCCCTTCCCTTCTCTGGGGAGCTGCTGGCACCTCCCTCCCAAGGAGACGCGGGTGTACCAGACCCCAGGGCTGTCCCGACCTCGGCCTCCCACTGCAGTGCCCAGGGCAGCTCCTCATGAACCTTGGGAAGCAGTGGGGAGACCTGCCGACCTGTGGTCTCGACCTACCTGTTCTGCCCCACAGCCCAGCCCCGATACCCCAGGGAGAGTGGGGAGAAGGAGAGAGGGGGATGGCCTGTGCCCCCCAGAGCAGTAACGGTGCCCCCAGTGGGGCAAGAAAGACCTAAGCAGCAGGGAAGGTAGCAGTGTAGACGCACAGGAGATCCCAGCGGCCAATACTGGATGCGGCAGATGGAGGAATATATCCTCTGATAATGCATCTTCCTTGGCAAAGCTACCCTGTGCGGGGAGCATCCTCCTTTTGCACCCGCTGCTCACCCCAGAGCACCTGGCATCTGCTGCCAGCCAAGCAACGATGCCAGCCCAGACCAGACCGGGCCTTGGGCAGGGCTGGGGTTTGGGGCAAAGGTTCCAGGGGCCGGTTTGAGATTTGGGCACCCAGCGCTCCCTGCCAGGCTCGCAGGACACGGCCCCGGCAGTCTGGAGAGAGGGATGGATCTGAGCCACCCAGAGCTCGACTTGCTTCCCTTGGGCATCTCCCAGGCAGGAGTTCTGGTCAACGCTGGCTCCTCTGCCGCATGGGGAGAGCTGAGGGCTCTGACCCGGGCCAGGGCGAGGGTGGGCCTGCACCACACACCTTCCCCCATGCCGCCCTGCCCATGCCACTCAGTCCCAGCCCCATCGGACCATCAGTTCTGCTGCTTCGGTTTGGGTCTGATTCCCCTCCCTCCAGGGGCCTGCGCCACCCCAGCCGGCTCCCTGCAGCTCTGGCTGGAGCACGTGCCAAGCGCTGCCCAGGGGCCCTTTTGACTCCAGCTCTGACTCAGCTGGGTCCCTTCTCCCGGTGCAAACATCACAAGCTCAGCTCATTGTTGGGAACAAAAGGGCCCGGTTTGCCTGACGCAGGAGATTCCCCCTGCACCTCTCCCCACACTGCCTGCTGGAGGCTCCCGGTCCTGGCCTGAGCCTGGCGCATCTGCTGACCAGGGTGGCTTTCAGGCCTGTCCCTCAGTTCTGCCTCCGGCTCTCCCATGTGTGGCAACCCCCAGCTGGGAGCCACAAGGGGGGGGTGGGGGACACAAGGACAAGCACAGGCTCTGCCAGGGCGGCTGAGCTGGGCGTGGGGTCCCCATGCTGCTTGGGTGAAGCCAAGAGGAAGGGGAGCACACATTGTCCAGGCCTGTAGCTGCACCGTCCCTGGCACCGGGGGAGCAGCCAGCCTGGCTGTGTCTTGCACCAAGCTCCAGAATGGGCTGAGACCCAGTGCGTTCGTTATTTCCAAGCGCTGGCTCAGAGGGTTTGCTGGACTGTATCAGAACCATGGTCCATCTACCCCGGTATCCATCCCCCTGGCTCTGGATCAGGGGCTTGATCCATCTTGTAGCCCACCTCTTCCCACGCCGTGTCAGGCAATCACACTGTTTGGGCTCACTCTCCTGCAATCAGCAGTGGCCAGTGCCTGACAGGTCAGAGCAGGGCCTGGACCTCCCCACTCTGACTCCCTGGCTGCAAGCACAACATTGCACATGGAGGGGGGACATTCCCTCCTGACCCTTGCATGATGCTCATGCCCTGAAGCATGAGGCTGACCCACTCCTATCTCACCTCAGATACCTGAAGAGAATTATCCTGCCCCCTTTGAAATCCAGCCACAGCCCTTGGCTCTGCAACTCCTGCAGCAGGGAGTTCCCCAGGTCTGCGTGACACGAAGGGCAATAGACATGACTGCCACACAGCCCAGCCAGTGGTAACTCTCTGCCGGGCCTTCTCCTAGGAGGCCCCATTTCCTCTTGTCCCAGTGCAGGAGAAAGACCACCCCGACCCCCAGGACCCGCGAGCTGCCAGCCATGTACACCTTGATGGGAGGCGGGCTGTTGTGTGCAGTCTCGGGCCTGATCCTTCTCATCGTTGCCACAGCGACTGACTTCTGGATGCAGTATCGCTACTCGGGAAACTTGAGCAACCAGGGGCTCTGGAGGTTCTGCATGAGCGGCAAGTGCCACCCCCACACCATCAGCATTGGTGAGCAGCGGGGACAGGGACCAGGAGGGTGATGACTGCGCGGACAGACAGTCTGGCTCTGGGCCCCGGGAAATGGCCTGGACGGGACCGAACGGGCTGTGGCTTGTAGATGTACATGTAGGGGCACCCAGCCAGGTCGGGTTCAGCGTGGCTCCTGCTGGCTCGGTCAGGGGTGCCCCGTCTGACCCAGTCCCAGGGAGAGATGCTGCGATGAGATGGCCTGATGGTTGTGCCCAGTGGCGCGGGCAGAGAATCTTCTGCTGGGTTGCTCCGGCAGAGCCCCTGCCCGGCATCCTGGCTGCTGGTTTGTGTGAGCACAGCTGCCCTCTTGTGGCTGCAGCCTGCCCCGGCCACCAGCCACGGATGGGTGGAGGTTCCCTGGAGCTCCCTGTGCGCTGGAGTCGGGGGGTGGGGGAGGTCCTGGCCCTCGCCTGGATGCCAGGAGGTGCAGTGCTGCCCGCCTAGGCTGCTTTGATTGACAGTAGGACCTGGCCCCATAATATGGAGAGGACAAAGCGGGGCTCGATGCCACCACCCGGCCCCAGCGGCAGCCCCGGAGTCCCTGGGCAGATCTGGCCTCTCCTGATCTCACCAACTCGGAGTCTGACCTTCCCCAGCGAGGCCCGGATCAGAACCGGCCGTCGGGGTGGTCTCTGGGCCGGTCGCAGACACGTCCCAGCTCCCCTCTCATACACAGCCAGTCCGAAGGGAGGCGGAGAGTTTCCGTCGGGCCTATATAAAGCCCCGGCCCCGGCTGAGCTCCCGAGCTGGCCTGTACCTTGGTAGTGGGAAATTCTGGAGTGGGACATTGAAACCCAGCCTGCCCTTGGGGGTGGGGAGGGGGGCAAGAGAAACAAGCCCCGTGGCTCCCTTCCCGGCCCTTGGTCTCCCCAGCTGGGGCTGCCACTGACCCTGGGCAGAGAGAGCGTAGGACCAGGGAGCGTTTCACACAAAGACGTGGCCATGCCCACTTTAGGGGATGGTCTGCTCTGCTGCTGGCTAAGGGTGCTGCCTGGGGGGGCTTGAGGGCGCGAGGAGCACGGAGGGCCCAACAGTGACTCCACGGGAGGACCCAGGATGGCAGCTGTCACCCAAGGCCGGGGAGGCCGATCCGCAGCTGATGGAAATTTCCTGGGGCTTGGCCTGGCCAGAGCACCACCGGCAGGAGAGCAGAGCGACAGGGCTGAGCCCTGGGGTTACATGGGTGTAACCCAATAGAGAATCTGACTGAGTCTGAGTCCAGATCCAAGCGGGACGGGGGTGACGGGGAGCGACCAGCAGCAAGGAATCCCCCTGGGTCCGCTAGGCCCGAGAGCCCCTAGGATGGAGCAGCAGGTGGAAGTTGCTGCTGCTTCTCAGTGTGGTTTGCTTGCTGCCTTGGGGATCCTCGCACGTAGCCTTGTAACCTGCCCCTCGGGGAGCCCTCACTGGGACCCCCAGCTCCCTGCCCCTCGGGGAGCCCTCGCTGGGATCCCCCATTCCCTGCCCCTCGGGAGTCCTCGCTGGGATCCCCCACTCCCAGCCCCCTTCCCAGCTGTCAGGAATCCACAGGGTTGGTGCTACTCCCCCAGCTTTGGAACAGTCTCTAGGAGGAAACTTTCAGTGGGCCAGACCCCCGAGGTGTCTCTTCCTCCAGGGTTAGCCATGCAGCCTGAGCCCACCGAGACTGAACCTCTGGGGCTCCAGTCCTCCTGCTTCACCCCATGATCTCTGCTCAGCAAGACCGGCTGAGACAGACCCCTGGGAGAGACGTGTCCACTCCGCAGGGATTAAAGCACCTCGCCCAGCATTTGCAGGGACACTCACCCAGCGCTCTCAAAGCTGTCGGGTTTATGGGTCAGCGGGAACCCAGCCCAGGAAGGCCCCCAGAACTGAAGGTTAAAGCACAGACCAGTTTGGTCAGCCCAGAGTCCAGTGGAGCTGTAGTGACCCCCAGGGTCAGGCTCTGTCTGTCTCTGTCTGACCCCCTTGGGCAGTTCCCAGGTGGGAGCCCTGACTCCTTCCAGCACCGGGCTCTGACCTCCCACCTCACACCGCTCCAGTCCTTTGTTCTCAAGGGGGGAGGGTGTTGCTCAGCCTCCCTTATACCCCACAAACGTCCTCCACCGGCCCTGCTGCGTCGTTCCCCTCCCCATGGTTGCTGTCCTACACGGTGCTGCCCTGGTTCTCGCAGCCCCTCTGCTAATCAGGCAAACACCCAGTTTCCAATACATAGCTCAGGGCAGTTTCACGGCCTCCCTTAGGGCTGGGCTGGTAGACTTCACTAGCAACGGGCACATGAGGAGTTTTCAGGCAGCCCCGTGCCCTATGGCCACCCTAGGCTCCTAGGGTTGGGAACTGTGCTGGGGTCCTGCACCCCTTCCTCTGCCAGGGAGTCAGAAGGGTAGGGAACCCTCATTCCTCCAGGTGTTGGCCATCTGGGCTGCTGTCTGGGGTGTCCTGGCCCCTAGGTTGGAGTCAGGAGTGACCCCTTGAGCATTTGGTCTTAACCCAGGATCCTTCCTGTGTCTCCACAGGGCTCTGAGCCATAGGTGGGGCAAATGGCCCCCAACGGGAACCTTAACCCAGGCGGCCAACAACCTTAATCCGACAGGGTTTGACCACACATGGTTTGACCAAGGTTCTCTCTGTCCCAGAATCTCTCCACCCCACGAATGTCTCCCCACTGACTGCCACCTCCCGCTCCCAAAGGGGCTCAGATGTGTCTGGGCCCAGGAGCGTACAACAGGACACGTGCACCGGTGCCAGGAGCGGGGAGCTGTGCCCTCGAGGGGCTGGCTGGGTGACTGCTTCCCTCTGAAGGGTCAGTCTCACGGTTCAGTCTCTGAGTCTGAGCTACAGGCAGCCTTGGCTGAACAGGGGATGAGTTAGCCCCTCGGTCCTGGGCTTTCGCCAAATGAACCCTCCATGGATCCCGTCTGGCTCCTATTTCATCAAGCCTTGGGCATTCTGCCCACTTAAGCCTTGTTTTCCTACAAACATCACACCACTGAGGTCCCTTGGCTGCTCCTCCCACTCTGTGTTTCCCTGAGTCCCACTTCTGGGTGGCCTTCACTGGTTCCCTTTTCCAGGACCCATACTTAGGTCAGTCCCCTTTGGACCTACTGTCCAAAACTCATCTGCCAACCGGCCTCTGCTACGCAGATCTTTCGGCTTCCTGTCCACTAGCCACATTTCCAGCTTGTGGGGACAGATCTCACAGAGTAGCTCCAACCCAACCAGGTTACACAATTCTCCCAGCTTAGTGACACCTGCACCTGGTCCCTATTTGTGGAGAGATTCTCCTGGCAGGCTTTCATGTAGGGTCACACCTTGGCTCTTTTGCACATCCCGCAACCTCAAGTGCCAAATCAAACCTAAGCAGTAGAGCCTTTGCGAACTGTTCGTAGTCCCCAGTATCAGCGCCGTCCCTCTGGCTGTACACCTCTATGGCTTTGGGACCGAGCCGGTCCACAGGGCCAACAGGTTCAAATCAAAAGCCTTCTCAAAGGCAGTGAGGTAGTTGTGTATACCCTCCTCCCTTAAACTGGGGCAACAATTTGGTATCTAGATTCCCTGCGGGATTAGTATCTCAGTGTCTTTCCTCACTTACCCCTCAGTGGATCCTCTTGCCCCCCCACTTCTCCATCTCCAGTTCATGCTTCTGCCGCTTCTCATGGTCTGCTAGGTCCTTCGCCCTAAGATCCCACTTCCACAGCTTGAAATCTGTTGATGGGGAACTGTGCTGGGCAGGGAACTGGGTCGTGAGAGCACCCTGCTGCTACCTGGGTCACTCTTGGACCCTCTTGGAACTCTACTCAGGTCCGGAACCTGCTTCTTGGTCTGATTGTCCTTCTCCAGCCGTGAAATCAGCGGCGCCTTGTTGAGCTTCCTAGCACTTTACCCTCTCTCCCTGCACAGGTTTGCGATGTCCTTCTTAGGGAGGCAGTTATACGCCATTTTCTTGCTGTTTCCTTTAAGTACCCTTGATTTAGTGCTGCAAGGCACTTACTGCAAAATATACTACTGGTGCATTCTGCATCCCACTTCTCCCACCAGCTGTGGCTCCACAGGATCGGTGCTATGCCTCCAGCTTTGGAACAGTCTCTAGGTGGAAGCCCTTCAGTGGGTCAGACCTCTGAGGGGCCTCACTCTTTCTATGCAGGGTAAGGTCCACAGCCTCACCGCCTCTGGGGCTCCAGCCCTCCTGCTTCACACCATGCAGTCTGCTCAGCGAGTCCAACTGAGACAGACCCCTGGGAAAGACGGGGCCATTCCGCAGGGATTAACGCACCTCACCAAGGTGCCATTTGTAGCGACACTCACCCAGCACTGTCAAAGCAGTCGGGTTTATGGGTCAGCTGGAACCCAGCGCAGGAAGGCCTTAGGTCAGCCCAGAGAACTGAAGGTTAAAGCAGTCTGGTCAGCTCGGAGCCATGCTGTATCGACCCCCATGGTCAGGTTCTATCTGACCCCATTGGGCAGTTCCCAGGTGAGAGCCCCCCACTCCTTCCAGCAGCCAATTCTCATCCCCCCACCTCACACCGCTCCAGTCCTTTGTTCTCGAGCTGGGGTCTGTGCTCAGCTTCCCTGCGGCGAGGCAGGGAAATCCATCTCTCTGGGGCATTGCTTGCTGGGTGTGGATATCCTGGTGACTGGGTTTTCCACAGTCCTCTGGGATTCTCCAGCGATACAGGGCGGTGGCCTTGGCCAGTCCTTTTTAATGACCCATTGAGACTCAGACAGCCAGGTGCCATTCACACCCATGTCTCTTTGCCTACCCTGAGAGGAAACAGCCCTTTCCCCCCTAGCTAGGTAACCATGAAACTTGTGGGGAAACTGAGGCACACATAGGGGTCATAAAAATATTACAGAAAATTCCCACTTTGTCACACATACCCCTTGGGGAGCTCTCACTGGGATCCCCCCCCAAACAGCCCTTTCCCCTTCCCCTTGGAGAGCCCTTGCTGGGATCCTCCACTCCCAGCCCCCTTCCCTGCCCCTTGGGGGGGACCAGCGCTGGGCCCACATTGCATCCTAGTTCCCATGAAAGCCTTATCTCTCTTGGAGGCTGCATCACTGTGATTCTTTATTTTCAGGAGCGACTCTCCGGGTCATATCTAGGATGCAGCTCATGCAAAATGCAGCCACTCGCTTCCTGCCAGGTACCCGGCCATCCCGGCTCCGCTCTGCTCCTTGTGCTGGCTCCTTCCTAGGCTTTGCATTGACTCCTCAGGTTCCTCCATGCCCCCTCCAGGGCCCTGATTGTCTGTGGGCTGCTTCTTCCCCCCCGCTATCTTCGTGCCTTCACAATCCCTCGGCCCTCAGGTGCCCGCCTGGCTCCCTGCAAAGACTTTGCTCAGGCAAAACTCCCATTGGTGTCATGGGGTTCAGCTCAGGGCCCATGTTGGGGTGCGGGTTAGGGAGATTCAGAGGCAGATTCTCATTGATCAGCACCCAGCATGCAGGGCTGGCCTGACAATTGGGCCTCAGGGCAGGAGTGAGCTCCTTGGAAAGTCTGGCCCCAGTTTGGGGAGGTCTGAGCCCTCCTGAATGCCAGCCCTAGCGTCTGTGCAAGCTGCCTCCAAACTCCTGGCCCCGCTGGAACTGTGCAGCCCGGCTCTGGAAGTCCCCGCCCTCTAACAAGGTGGGGCAGTGGGTGGGGGGCAGTCCAGGTGACCAGCTCCCAGTCTCATTACAGCCCTACCTGCCTCCCCCAACCCAGCTGCAAAGAAAGACACAGTTTTAGGGTGCAGCCTTTGAGGGAGAAGGTGGGGGGCAGATGGGGGCAGCAGCTCACCCCAGGGAAAGGGATTGCATGGGGATTGGCTCGAGGGAGGAGGGGCAGCTTAGGCCCCCAGACCCAGCGTCTCTCTCTTCTGCATCGGTCCTGCTCAGCACACACCCTCTGCGCAGTGACAGACGCTTCTGAGTGCTGGAGGTGCTGGCCCTGCCGTTCGCCGGCTTCCTCCCCTGCTCCTCAGACGAGATCCGGCTCCCGGCGCCCCTTGCCAATCTCCGGGTCCCAACGAGTGCTCCTCTCTCTCTCTCTGTCCCCTCCCTGCAGCCTTCTGGGACGCCACCCGGGCATTCATGCTGCTCTCCATCCTCTCCTGCTTCGCAGGCATCATCCTGGGCCTCACCGCCTTCTCCAGCAGCGCCAGGGCATCCCGGACCCGCTCCGCCGGCATCACCCTGCTGATCGCTGGTACGTGGGCCCCGGCAAAGCCAAGGGGAGGGGGGTGGGGAAATGCCAGGCATCATTAGAACCAATGGGATGTGCCATCAGCAAAGCAGGGTGGGCACCATGGGGTGGGGCAAGCACCATGGGGCAGGGTGGGCACTGCAGGGTGCAAGCAACAGGCAAGGGAGAAATGCTTATGAGATATTAGACGGGTATCCCGTTAGAGAGCGTGCACTCCTCAGCCCATTACAAATTGCTCACGAGTCTCCTCCTCTGCCATCCACATGCAGCCACCTGTGGGGTGAAACATCAGAGCCTGCTGAGCACCTGGTGAGAGGCCGGCAGGGAGGGGCAAAGCTGGGAAAGTAGCCAATAGGAAGAAGAGGGTGTGGCTGCTCCTACCTTACTGCCCCCTGCTCTCTGCCACACTCCTGTCATCTGGCCAGCAGGGCACCACCTGCTTGGACTCAGCAGGTGGCACGCAAGGCTGGCATGTGAGAGCCGTGAGGCTCACCGCAGCTGGTGGAAAAGCTCCTCTGCCGGGAATACGTGTCACCCGCTTGGGCTCCCTGGGGATCTGGCCCAGCTGGCCAAGGAAACTCCAGCTGCACGCACAGCGGGCGGCATTGGGACCCCAGCACTGCCCACGTCGGCCACACATGGTCCCCACTTTAATAACGTACCAAATCCCCCAGGCAGGCAGGTTGGGACATCAGGGTGCCCGGCTAGACTCTCATGTTTGCTCTGGCTAGCACCAATCGCCAGCAGGAGGCTGGGCACAACCGCACCTCACTGGGTGGCCTGGGGCTCCATGCCTGCTCCCCTCTGATCCTCACCTGGCTAGATGGAGGCTGCTGAGGGCTGAAAAGCAGCCCGGGGCTGGCCAAGCCGCTGCCTCGCTGAGTCCCCAGGCCTGGGGGGCTGGGGGCATCTGGCGATGGGGGGCCTTTCTCCAAGCCCTTCCTGGCTGGGCCCCATCCTGAGCTGAGAGCGGCTAAGAGCCCCCCAGCTCTGCAGGGAGGGAGGGAGTCAAGTCTTTCCCGCACCTGCCCACCCCGTTCCATGCCACGCGGCCAGCAGCGAGCCAAGAAGGCTGGTCCAGACTGTGAAGAGCGCCAGCGGGCTCTACGCCGGCTAGGGGATGGGCAGTGCCCAGCGAGCGAGCGTCAGTACTGGCAGTGTCCCCCGGAGGAGAGAGTTTGAACGACTCCTGGGTTCTGGAGCCACTCTGGAAAGGGGCTGGGGCGTCACTGGGACCAGCTCTGCCTGCAGCAGCCGATAGGAAGGCGTCCAGGCCGGGAAGGAGAAGCACCCGCAAAGCTAGCTTGAGCCTGGTTATAGCTGGGCGCTTTGCCCACCCCTTCAGTGCCCCCAAATAATTCCTGGTGCGGATCTAGTGTGCAAGTCCCCGTTGCTGGGCTGGCAAAAGGCAGGGCTGATCCGGCACTGCTCCTGGGGATGCTGCAGGGGCAGCTGGGGGACAAAGCAACTCCAGCATGGGGGAGGAGGGTAGATTAGCCACGGCTGCCCCCCATGTGGCTCTGACGCCTTTCTCTGGCACACCTGGCCCTGCCCTCAGTCCAAGACTGGGCCGGAAGGACCGGTCTGACCACCCCTCTGTGGTTAATGCTGGGGGGAGGGTCGCGGGGGGCAGGATGCATCCGCGCTGAAAGGAAAGACCCATCTCAGAGTTTTGCTGCAGGTGCCAGGAATTGGGCCAGGAAAACACTCCCAGTTGGGTGCAGCAGAGGGAGCCCCAGAGTTGCCTGGCCGGCTCTGTGCTGGCCCATTCCTGGCAGCCCGCTGGCACTGGGGGAAGGGGTGTGGCTCCCCCTGGCAGGGGTGATGGCAATGGTGCCCGCTGGCACACAGGCTGAGTGGCACAGCTGGAGGAGCTGAGGGTGGAGGAGACAAGGGTGGCAGAGTTGGGTGAGTGCACGGGTCATGGCTACCCCCGGGGGAGCTGCCCGGGACAGGGTCAGGGCTGGGTCACAGCAGGCAGGGCTGGGAGAATGCCTCAGAGTAGCCCCATGGCCCCAGCGAGGGGACAGACCTGGGGTGAGGGCAGGAACTCCCTCCTGTACAGCTCCTAACACGCTGCTAGGAAGGGTTTGGCTGAGTCTTTAGGGATGGGGCTGGCTCATGGGGCAGGGTTCCATCAGGTCAGTGATCGACCTGGCCTTCCAGTAGCACAGGACAGGGCAGGGGGCTCAGAAAGCGGGAGCCACTCACAGACCCTGGGAGATGGAGGGAGGGAAACTTCTCCCCGTAACGAGTTGTGCTCAGTAAAACTGACACAAGGTGGTACTGAGCTGTGCCAGGACCCTGCATTGTGGTGCCGAGCCAGGCCAGGTCCCTGCGTTGTGGTGCTGAACCAGGCCCGGTCTCTACATTGAGGGTGCCGTGCTGGGCCAGGTCCCTGCTTTGCTGACACCTGCATGTGATGAGTGGGGTCAGAGCTCAGCTCCCTCCCCACGCTCCCGTCCTGTGCTCACCCCCGCAGGTCTCTTTGCATTGCTGGGGCTGTCGGTGTACACTGGTGTGACTGTGAATTTCTTCGGTAAGCGCTATGCTGACTGGCGCTTCTCCTGGTCCTACATCCTGGGCTGGATCGCTGTCATCCTCACCCTCTCGGCAGGTACCTGCTCCTGGGAGCTCCCCATCTGCTCCCCTCTCTGCGTCCAGGCCCCTGGGTGCCCAGCACGGCACCCCATCCCCCTTTCCATACTGTGGATCCTGGTTCCTCGACTGCCCAGGCCAGCCCCAGCCCTGGGCTCCCCACCCACCCCCAGCTGAGATCCTGGCTGCCTGGAGCTGGACTCAGACGCCCATACGGTTCCTTCCATCCCACTCTGCCACGGGGTGCTTGCCAGGAGCCCGAGCAGCACTGAACTCAGCTGAGCTTTCCTGAACTTCAGGGGTGTCTGGTCCATCAGTACCAAATTCGCAGCCATGAAAAACGTGTCACGGACTGTGAAACCTGGTCTACCCCCGGGAAATCTGGTCTTTCCGGAGCTTTTACCCTATCCTGTACAGAGTTCCCAGGGGGAGACAAGCGTTTCTCAGATTGGGGGTCCTAACCCAAAAGGGAGTTGCAGGGGGGGTCACAAGGTTATTTTGGGGGGGGTCACAGTATTGTCGTCCTCACTTCTGCGCTGCTGCTGGCAGCAACTCGGCCTTCAGAGCTGGGCTCCCGGCCAGCAGCTGCCGCTCTCCGGCTGCCCAGCTCAGAAGGCAACGCCGCCGCCAGCAGCAGCGCAGAAGTGAGGACGACAATACTGTGACCCCCCCCACAATAACCTTGCAGCCCCCGCCCCCGCAAGTCCTTGCAGTCCCCCTACCATTACAACACCATGAAATTTCAGATTTAAGTAGTTAAAATCATGAAATTTATAATTTTTAAAATCCTATGACTGTGACATTGACCAAAATGGACCCTGAATTTGTTAGGGCCCTACCCGTCAGAGACCAGAGAGGTCTGCTGGGAAGCCTGGGGAGGTGGAAGGCTGTCAGCCGAGATCCTAGGGCAAGGGGCAGGGTGGGGGAAACCTGGGCAAGCCATGGGCAGTCGTGGTGGGGGGGACCTCACAGGTGCAGAGGAGAATGAAGCAGGTGTGTGGGGAAGGGAAACTGCTGGAGGGATCCAGAAAGGAAGAAGCATGGGGGTCAGGGTGCCATGGGGCAGGGGGTGTGTGGGGTGAGGCGAAGGAGGAGAAGGGGGCAAGGTGCCATGGGACAGGGGGTGTGTGGGGTGAGGGGAAGGAGGAGAAGGGGGCAGGGTTCCATGGGACAGGGGGTGTGTGGGGTGAGGGGAAGGAGGAGAAGGGGGCAGGGCCCCATGGGGCAGTGGGTGTGGGAAGAGCAAGGGGTGAGGGTCAGGATGCCATGGGGGTACGGGCAGAGGGAGTAAGGAATGTGGGGGGGGCTGTGCTCTATGAGGTGGGGGAATGTGGGGGATGGAGGACTTGGGGGACATGGAACCCTGGGGTGCAGGTGTGGGGCAGGGTGGAGTGTGGGGATCAGGGCAGCAAGGGATAGCGAGGGAGGCTGGGGGAAGATGCCTGCCCCAGATGGGCCCACACAGGGAGCCGGCTGCCCCCAGGGGTCATCTCTTTGCCCCTTCAGCTTTGTCAGCCACAAGCCCATCCCGTCCCGGCCTTGCCATCCAGCCCCTCATTGGAGCCAGGGAATGGGCCGGCGGCTCCTCCTACAGGTGGGCAGGGAGAGGTCCCTGCAGGCCTCCCAGCACTGGCGCCGTTCCCAGCCAAGCTGCAAGGGCACCAGGGGCCGTTTGACGGTTACCCCGTGGGCATGACGCCCCTGGGGTGAAGGGAGAGGCTGAGCAGGGAGATGCTGCGCTACAGAGGGAGAAGCCTGGGGGATTGTGGGGGATCACCTACCACATCCCTGCCCACCCACCCCATCCCTGCCTGCCCTGTTTGGCCCCTTCTACCTAGGAACCCACCCCTGCCCCTTCCCTGCCCCATTGCTCCCTCCCCTGACTCTCCGCTCTCTTCCCCAGGCATTTTCCACGTCTGCGCTGTCTCCAAGAGCCCGTCCCCGGAGAACTCCAACGCGGCGAGTGGCTGAGTGGGCACTGGACGCGCGGCCTGGTCCTGACAGCTCCCCACCCTCACCCCCTGCCCTTGCTCTGACGGCTCCCCACCCTCCAGTGACATGCACCTGGTCCCGGCCAATCCCCGCCCTCCAGTGACATGCACCTGGTCCTGGCCAATCCCCGCCCTCCAGTGACACCCGCTGGGCCCCGGCCAATCCCCGCCCTCCAGTGACATGCACCTGGTCCCGGCCAATCCCTGCCCTCCAGTGACACCCGCTGGGCCCCAGCCAATCCCGCCCTCCAGTGACATGCAGCTGGTCCCAGCCAATCCCCACCCTCCAGTGACACTGGCCGGGCCCCAGCAAATCACTGCCCTCCAATGCCATCTGCTGGGCCCTGATCAATCCCTGCCCTCCAGTGACACCTGCCTGGCCCCAGCCAATCCCTGTGCTCCAGTGACATTCCCTGGCCCCAGCCAATCCCTGTGCTCCAGTGACACCTGCCTGGCCCCAGCCAATCCTCGTCCTCCAGTGACATTCCCTGGCCCCAGCCAATCCCTGTCCTCCAGTGACACCTGCCTGGCCCCAGCCAATCCCCGTCCTTCAGTGACATTCCCTGGCCCCAGCCAATCCCCACCCTCTAGTGACACGTGCAGGCCCCAGCCAATCCCTGTCCTCCAGTGATACCCGCCAAGCCCTGGCCAATCCCCACCCTCTAGTGACACGTGCCAGGCCCCGGCCAATCCCTGCTCTCCAGTTACACCCACCAGGCCCCGGCCAATCCCCACCCTCCAGGCACCCAGCATGGAGTCCTCTGCCCTGTCCCAGCCCCCTCCCCTCCCCGGGCCAGGCGTGGTGCCCGGTGCTGGCCTTGATCCCGATGTGCCAGTGATCTGAATGTGCCAATAAACCAGCCGAACTCTCAGCCGCGTCCCGGTGCCGCCGTGTCCCAAGAGCGCGACAGGCAGGGGGGCCCTGCAGACCGGCGCGGCTCCCCCCAGCTGCCCTCTAGGTAATTCCTGGCTGAGACCTGCTCAGCGCGGCTGCTACCAGTCCCACCAGGGGGTGTCCTGAATTCCCAGGCTCTGGGCTGAGTCCCTGCCTAGAGTCTCCTGGAAGTAACCCCTTAAGGGTCTGTCTACACCGCTGTAAACCCGGGCTCAGAGTCAGGTTTGAGCTTAACCCCCTCCCCTTCCAGCCACACACTAATCAGGCTGGCTTGGGCCAGGAATCCATCTGGACTTGGGCCCATGGACACTGCTGGGGGGGCGGTCAGAGCCCGAGTCCCGCTGAGACACGGGCCCAAGCCCCATGTGGCCGCAGCCCCGCGTCAGAAGGGCTGCACGCTGCAATGTGGAGGTGTAGCATAGCGGGGAGCCCCGGGTCCCACAGCTGTAAGCCCAGGTCATGCAGTGTGGACACACCCCAAGCCTCAGCAGCTTCCAGCCAGGGCCACGGGGTCCCAGCCAGCCCCATTTCCCGCCGAGTCTCCCCGAAGGCTTCCCTTGGGTAGTCAGTGATGCCAAGTTAGTGAGGAATTGCAGGGGGAGGGGGCCGAGCTCCCGGTTCCCAGCTCTGGCCCAGCGGGTCCCAGTACAGCCAGAAGCTCCATCTGGTCACGGTTGCACCTGCCCCGTGTCTGGCTGCCCAAGCAGGCTGTGCTTGGTGCCCAGCTGCCTCTGCTTCCCCTGCCTGGGGTCTGAATGTCCCATCCCTGAGGCTCCGGGGGCTTCCCTTTGGCAGGGCGATTCCAGCCCAGACAGGGTCCCGCACCCATTGCCCTGCCCCCGCTCCTGCCCTGGAGAGAATTAACCCTTTCCACCCAGTAGGTAGCGATAGCTAGCAGCACATAAATGTTGCTCATAAACAGGACAAAGTTCCCACGGTCATCACAGGGGCAACTCCTGGCAGAGACTGGCTCCCCCAGCCCCACTTCTCCCTCCTTTGCCAGGCCGGCTCCCCCTACCTCGTGACCAGGGCGTGCCCAGCTCTGCGGCTATCCCTCAATCCTGACCCACAGCCCCCTGGTACCTCCACCCTGGGTTCCCCATGCCCCCAGCTCCCTCCATCTCTCTCTTGCGCCTTCACTCCCTGCAGAATGCCCGCTCCTTGCGATTTCCCTCAACTCCCCCGCCCAACGCTCCCGCTCCTGGTTCCTGACCCATCTCTTGTTAGCACCCTCTCAGCACCAGGCACACTGGCTTTGCCAGCCAAGAAAGGCCTTTTTGTGGCTGAGAAGGATTCTCTGGCAGGGAACCGGTCCACCAGAGCTCAGCGGCTTTTTGGCCTGAGCATGGCCAGGGGGAGCCAGACTCAGGGCCCTGTGAGTGATGCCCTTGTCTCTTTCGTCTCCCCAGAACTGGGTGCAAATATTGCTCAGGTCACAGAGGGATAACACTTTGGGATGGAAAAATTTGGCAAGACAGATCACAAGAAAGGTCTAGGGGGCTGCGGGTCAGGACTGAGGGGCACTGGCAGAGCTGGGGGGGCAGGACTGGGATAGCGAGGGGTCAGGGATTGAGGGGCACTGGCAGAGCTGGGAGGTTGCGGGGGCTCAGGGCTGGGATGGGGGGGTTAGAGCCATTTCTTGCTTTTATAGGCACCCAAATTCCTGAGGTCCCCTCCAACCCAATCTTGGGGGTGGGGGGAGGGGCTCCTCCCTCTCGCCCTCCCTGCCCAGGGTCCTGGCCCACACGGCCCCCTCCCTCTCCCTTCGGGCTTGGCAGCTTGTTCTGTCAAACAGGTTGAGGCAAGTTTTCGCTGACCCCGCTGTTTCTCAGTCGAGGTGACTCAGGCTGCGACACCCTAGCAGGGCCCTGGCTGCACCGGGAACCACACGCAGAGCGGGAGACACGGGGCTGGGATCACCCCCTCCTTCCCCACACAGCTCCAGGAGCAGTAGGGGATTCCTGGCAGCCCCTGGAATCTGCCGGTTCCGGGCCATGTTGCCTAAGGCTTGTAGCTAATGGGCAGGGGGGGAGTGGGGCTGGCTCCCTCCCAGCCCAGCTTGGCCAGAGCTGGCACGGCTGGAGTTTCACTCGAAAGCTGACAACTTCCTATGGGGCCAGTTCCTTGGCGCTCCGGCTGCAAAGGGCCCGATCCTGTCCCCAGGATCCCAGCACCACCGCGCCCTGGGGCGGACAAGCCGGTCTGGTACAGAGCGACTCCCACCATCTGCCGCAGCCCACCACTGCAAATCACTCTGTGACCTGCTACTCTGCCACGTCCATCCCCCGGTGCGTGGGCACCACGGTGCAGTAGGGCCGGGCCATCATCCCCCTTATGCAGGGGGGAGCTGGGGCACAGGGGAGATGTAGGGCCAGATTCTTAAAGGTGTTTCAAAAGCGTCTATGTGCCTAACTCCCATGGGTGCTTCTCGCCTAGACTCCTTTATCGATCTGGTCCTGAAGGACTTGCCCACAAGCAGCATCCGCAGAACAGGGGTCAAGGCCAAGGGGTGTCAGCCCAATGCCTCATCTCTAGCCCAGCCTTTGACTCCAGGCCGGTGCATCAGTGCCGCTACATCAATGCAATGACCCGCTGTGCAGACCCTCCCCCAGCAGGCTCCCCCACGTCACGGCGCCCACTCTGAGCTGGGGGGGCCAGGCATTTTCTACAGGGACACTGGCGAAGGGGCTTAAAAAGCAGATCCCCACCCCCTGGCTGCGAGGGTGAAATCCCAGGAGGGATCTGTCCTGCAAAGGAAGGCGCCAGGAACCCGAGCTGTACGCTGCCATCCCCACCCCAGATGTGCTGGGCACAGGGAAGGAAGTGACCGTTGTAGGCCGACCCTTCCTGGCCTGCGCAGGGCCCAGTGCGGAGTGGGTCTGGCAGTGTCACGTTCCCTGCAGCTGGTGTCAATGGGTGGCGCTCCATTGGAGTCACTGAGGGTCTATGCCCAGAGATAGAAAAGGCTATTTGGTGCCAGGCAGCCCATCCCTGGCATCCGGGGCGCCTCTCCTGGCTTTGGTCTGGTTTGAAATGCCCCAGCCCTTCCCCCCAGCCCAACCCAGGGCTCTGCCTGCCAGCCTTACCTCGCGTCCCCTGTACAAGCAGGGCGGCCTCGCTATGTATTCCATGGACTGTGCCCTCCTGGCTGGTGTGGCTGAGTCTCTGCTGCCCTCTGCTCGATGGAATTGGAACTGTAGGGCTGTGTTTCATAGCCTCTATACTGCCCGCTCTGAGTGGTGATTCTCCTTGGTCCAGGGGGCAGTAGGGGCCTGCGCTCTTGGGGCAGGTGGTTGTTGCAGTATCTTCTTGCCCTCCTGCCTCTCTTCAAGCTCCTAGTTGTGCCCCTCAAGGGTGTTCCCCACCCTCCCCCCAAGCAGCAATGGGTTTAGCTGGCCATTTAGCCCAAGCTGGCTTCCTGGGGCCTAAAGCTGAACTCTGACCTTGCCCCCCAGTGCCCTGCTGGGGAGATCATGGGGCAGATGCAGCATCTCTGGGCTGCCAGGTGCCAGCAGCCATGGCCCGAGGAAACGGGAGTGGAGTGGGAGGCCGTGCCCAGGGGAGGGAGGGTGGTGAAGTGCCGCGGGTACTAGTCAGCGGCATTTGAGTGACAGCCCGGCGCAGTCAGAGTGCGTGAGATGGCTGCAGGCTGCCACAAGCGACTCGCCCAGCACGGGGCTGAGTAACAGCAAGGTTTGAGCGCTTCTGCCTCGCGTTGACTCATGGCTGCTGCCCAGGAGGGCTGGACAGACTCAGAGGGCCTGCCCAGGTTGGGGGGCCTGGTCCAGGGGGATGGGCTGCTGTCTGGGGGGTGGGGGGGAGGGCTGGACAGGGGCCTGGCTGGGGTGCTGGGCCAAGGGCTGGGTGAAGGCTGGCCAAGGGCTGTGGCGCTGGGCTAGGGGCCTGAACCGGGGGGCGGGGGCAGGCTGGGGTTGCAGTGCTGGGGCAGGGGGTCTGGGTGTGGGCTGGGCTGGGGGACTGGGTCTGCGCTTCCTTGGCATCCCATCAGCATGGGTAGAACTCAGGCTTTCAGTAAGGAGCCTCCCCACCCCCCACCCCCCGCCCAGGCCCTGGGCAGCGCGGCCTAGCTGGTCAGGGCCTCTGGAGCTCTGGGTTCAATCTCTGCCTATGGCA